ATTATAAATTATATATGTATATAGATTATTACTATTTACAAACAAGTTCTTGAACTTATTTTTCTTAAAACATAGAACAGTAAATATAAAAGTAAAGTAAACAATTATCTCTTTTAGTTATGACCTTTGTACTCAGTTGCTGCTTGACGTAGGTTTCTAAGCCTTTAAAAATTTTGCATGTGGAGGATATGAAACAAAATAATTTTTTTTCAGGTTTTATATATATATTTGAATAACTAAAAAATCATAAATTACTACATCAGTGCCACAGAATTCCACTATAATTTATCAAGCTTAGTAACTAAGATGTATTTTAGTCTAAAAAAATATGACATTTTGAGCAGACTAAAGACACACCCTACCTCCTTGAAATATTGGTTTAAAAGAAAGAAATGGCATCCAAGCCCATTAAAATGGCTAAGAAAGCCACTTGGGGGACATTCTGGGCTTCCGATTCTTGTCATATATAGAAAGAAATAAGTATATTTAAGGGAGCATTTCCAAAACTGGAAAAAGGTGGGCAGGATGCCACTGTGTTTGATTTATTACATGAGCAATATCTTAGCAAATAGAAAAGATAAGATGTTCTTATTTTATATTCTAGCTTTTCAATATTGGTAATTTGAGTTTCTAATTCATACAAAACTATAGACTTAGTATTTTGACTTTACAAACATCTAATTTGAAGGAGTGCTAAATTCAACATACCACATTATGCACAAAAGTCGATGTGTATCTGTGTTTTTTAATATTTACTTTTAAATGAAGAAGTTGAATAACATATAGTAGTTCAATATAATTTTGAATGCGAGTCAACAAACGAGATGACATGGCCTTTCATCCATGACCCGTCTTGAAAGGGTTAATACTACTTGTATACTGAGTACTTGAGTAAGGAAGTAAATTACACTAATATAATAATAGGTAAGCAAACAATGATTTATAAACATAAAGAAAATTTTTATTGATTTTGAGGAATGAACTACATGTTTGTCAGAACATTGGTCTGTTTTCTTCATCAGGTGTAAACAGTACTAAAACAATAGGGAGTAAATGTGATGGAAATGGTGTCAGCAGGTGATAGGATATAAGTAGAGGTCAAGCCTGGTCAAATGTATGAATGGTGAATAGACTTTGCCAAATACGGCTGATGTTGCTGGGGGACCATTATCACGGTTTAGGGAGAGGTCATTTGCTTTGATGGTTTCTTTCATTTTCAGTTTTGGGTTGGTGTAGGAGAATAATTTCAACCCAAAGTATTTTTCATATTGATGATATGTTAAGGCAAATAACTGGAAATCGCCTTTATGCATATGACCTTGGTGTTCTTTATGTCTTGTTTCTAAGGAACATGTCATTTGTCCTATGTATTTCTTTCCACATTCATATGGGATACTGTATATGCCTTGATTTTGTTCTTTGAATAGGGATTGTTTTGGGTTAGGTAGCAAGATATTAATTTTATATGAGGATTTGAATACAGTTTTTACATCAATGCTCAGATTATTAAAAAGTCTAGTAATATCATCAGCACTTTCTGGCACATAAGTGAATGAAACAAATTTGTTGTGTTTTGTGTTGTTTATAGATGAAAAGTTAGAGTTAATAATAAAAAATAACATATTTTTACTCATAATTACTGCAGCAGACAATCTTCTTGATAGAAAAAGTGTGTGCTTTTCAGACTCACTGTCTCAAATCACAGTGGGAAGAGAACTAATCACTCGATTAATTCAATATCCTTGATCAGAGATTCACAGAATATAACTAAATTAGATAGGTTAGGGAAATACACTTCATTAAAAATTTAAATTGTTGATATATGTTATGAAATCATCCCAAATAGCATAGCTATAAGTAAAATGAAAATTTGTTAGTTTTTGTTGTTCTAAAGCAGTATAGACATATAGTGGTAAGACGTTATGCTTTCAGTTGAAGCTGTTAAACCAATTTCACAGTTTTTTTAGTGGTTTTACATGAAGTGTGCTTCATCTCTTTGTGACGGAAATGGTTTAAGTCAAAAATATTCAATTCAGATGATCATGAATAACAAATACTATTCAATACACTGAAGATTTTAGTGGATGTTTATACCTCTATAAAGACCTGATGGAAAAATTGGGTGAATTTACTAACTTCTGTGTAAAATGCTTGTTGTTTTATTTTTTTGTGCGACTTGTATATTAGAGCATAAATACATGTAGCTAAGTAAAGTTATTTTCAAAAACTGATGAAGTTCTTGGATCCTTTTAATAATTCCTACATTAAAACATTTAAAAGGAATGCATCATTATTTCTAGCTTAAAAGATTAAGTCTTTTGTGACAGTATAATATTATCACTAGTTTTCTGTTTTATGATAGGAGTAGGATACATTTTTCTAATTTCTTATAATAATTACTTGTTTTTTTCAGTTACAGTTGCACACAGTTTGTCATCTTCCACAAAAAAATATGAAACATTACCACATTTTTGTCTCAAGTCAGTTGGAAGACTGAATTTGCTAATTTTATGGAAAGACATGCCATACCTTCTTGAATATTTACAAAATTAATGAATGTCATTTTCAAAAGAGTGATTAAACCTTAAGACATGTGAATGAACATTTCTGGATGTTGAAGGTTAAAACTTCTGAGTCCAATTATTAGAACAGATTTGTTTTTAATAATGCAGTATTTTGTGTTACTTAAGCAGTACTTTTACTTGACATCTGTTCCATTCCACCCATATGACATGAAAATAAAAACTGCATTATTGCATCATATAAAAAGGTTTACTGAATATTAACAGTAAGTTTATGCTCATAATCTTTAGTGCATTAAGGGTAATTTGCTCATTTTGAATGGTACCAAAAATATACACCTGGAAAAAAGTTAAGCACCCCCGTGTTTTTTTCAAGTGATTCA